GATCTGAACGAACTTCGAAAGCTTGTCGATATCAAGACCGGTCACTTCAGTCATAATCACAGATTGTTCCCTGGACATCCGGATTGGAATGATGCAATATCATTGTTAGCAGTCACTCATCATCCCAGCAAGGAGGACCATCGACTATGCCCCGCATGTCTGATGGAGACCCCTGCGCCACTTTCGATTTGTGTGATGTGCAAAGGATTTTTGGTGAGTCACGGATGGAGGAAACGAATCAAGATCACCGTGGCGACAGTACCAAGTGCCGAATCGCATCATCGAGAAGAAGATCTCAAAGACCATGTCAAGAAAGCATGGGAGGAGGTGAAGATCGATTTGACAGGTGAAGGTGACGATGACGAGCTGATGCAAGATGATGATGACGTCACCATGAAGAGTCCAGAACAAGAAAATCAACCAGAAGAAGAAGATGATGACCAAGCCTCGAAGAAGGGCGACATCAATGATGAGAGAAGAGACTTCAGAGAACAAGATGAGGTCGACAAGTTTCTCAATCAGGAAGGAAAACCGACCGACGAGAATGACGATGAAGAAATAGCGGTCGATGAAATCAACATTGAGGAGTATGAGGCTGGAGAAGCTCGTGATGCAGTGATTGAGTACCCCAAGTGGATGAAGAGGATTGAGTTTGGATCAAAGGTCCTACCAATCGAGCCTTGCACAATTGGAGATGCTCAGCCAGAGCTCATCAAAATCCTCCTGTTGCAGATTGGATTACATATCGTCAGGATCTACAGACTATTCCAACGGAACTTCTGTGGGGACATCGAGACGGCATGGAAACACTTTCAACAGAACCAGAAATTCAGGATGGACCTGGACTCAAGAACGCCTTACCTAGGCGAGGATGAAAATGGTGAACTCATTGAACCAACTGCACAACAGATGAAAGAGCTCTACAAAGAGATCGGCCGACCGAAACAAAAGGACGACATCGGAGAAGAGGGATTCGTCAATGCATACTATGGGGCAGTGGTACTCAAGCGACTTCTCATATATACCCTTGAATGTGGTTACACGTATGATGACTTGCAAAACATCTTCTATGACGAGGAGATGGAGAAGCTGTCGAAACGTGACACAACAATGGATGAGATGAGAAAGACCACGGCGGCCCGCGAAGCCCTTGACCGACAAGACGTCATGGTCAGAAGAATCATTGCAGGTGCATACAGGGTGAATGCTGTTTATTTCTTCAGGAACGTCGACTTTCAAGACACAATCACACTGAACCCGGTGGACATTGTGTGTGCTCTTCGTCCCGCACTTCGAAGAATATCACTTTTACACCTGATCCTTCAAAATGGCCGACAATTGCCACGACCTCTACTCCAGAAGCTATATGATGCAATCGATGACTACAACCACATCAAGCAGAGGGACGATCAACGACCAAGGTGGGGCATCCACATGTCAGACGCCCACATACTTGCGATTGCCGATACCCCAGTCCCTGCTGATCGTGAACGTACTAACCCGGTCGCTGGCAAATCGAAAGCAGCCCCGAAGGCAGCACCAGCACTGGGCAGAGTGTCAAAAGCGAAAGCATCATCGTCAGCAACATGGAGAACCGTCGAAGCCGCTCCTCCGCCAAAACAAGCTCCAGTAACCCCGCCACAGAAGGGTGGAAAAGACCAAGGAAAAGGTGGAAGATCTTATTCACACCGTGGTGGAGACTGGAACCAACAGGGATACTATGGGTGGGGATATAGATGATAAATCGATATGACCTCTGCATAGGTCCTGATTGAACCTGGCGAAGCGAGGATGCAATCATTGCTCGAGATTTTACCTCTACTTCATTTCGAATGATTTCTGAGAGGACTCTGAGCCGGCTAATTTAGAACCACATTTTTTTTTTGAACATCATTGCACGAGACGCTGAGTTTCTACAGCGGTCTACATCTCAACCGACGAAGGAACGGGAAGGTAAACTTCTAGTCCCATAGTCAACTTTGTGTTTTGATTTTTTTAATTCACATGCTTGAGTGGGATTCCATGCTGGCTACGCCACATCGGATGAACCTCAATGCTAGACACCGACTACGTCGCGTCTACATGCACGTGAACAGAACCTTTATCTATTGGTAGAGATCGTAGCAAGCCGCCATGTAGATTTGAAGTTCTGAATGGACTTTAGCTCTCCATAATTCAATAAATGAACAGCTGCAGATGTAGTGGATCAATTCAAGGGACACTCCTTTGCGCGTGGCCGACAAAGTTGGCCATGCGTGGGGGGTGCGAATAGAGTGTAGGCTACGGACCATTGTACACTAACACCTAATTCGGCCCTCAAAGATCCACAGCCAAGGGGTATATCAACTCGCCCTTTGGCTCAAGACCACTGCAGGAACCGGAACAAAGAATTGCCATGCTGAAGCCGCCACCCGTGTGACGTCATCACTGAAACACCTATTTCAAGACCAAGTACCAGAACATAATCGGATAGACAACCTCCGATTCACAATATGCATATGCATATGCATATACATATACATATACATATACACATACACATACATACATACACACATACACATATACATATACATATACATATGCATATACATATATACATATATACATAAATACATACATACAGACATACAGACATACAGACATACAGACATACAGACATACATACAGACATACAGACATACAGACATACAGACATAAAGACATACAGACATACAGACATAGAGACATACATACATACAGACATACAGACATACAGACATACAGACATACAGACAGACATACATACATACATACATACATAAGCACATACGCACATACGCACATACGCACATACGCACATAGGCACATAGGCACATAGGCACATACGCACATACGCAAATACGCACATACGCAAATACGCACATACGCACATACGCACATATGCACATACGTACATACGTACATACATACATACGCACATAGGCACATAGGCACATAGGCACATAGGCACATAGGCACATAGGCACATAGGCACATACGCAAATACGCACACACGCACATACGCACACACGCACATACGCACATACGCACATACGTACATACGTACATACGTACACACGTACACACGTACACACGTACACACGTACACACGTACACACGTACACACGTACACACGTACACACGTACCCACGTACACACGTACACACGTACCCACGTACACACGTACACACGTACACACGTACACAAGTAGACACGTACACACACGCACACACGTACACACGTACACACGTACACACGTACACACACACACGTACACACGTACACACGTACACACACGCACACACGTACGCACGCACACACAGACACAGAGACAGAGACACAGAGACACAGAGACACAGAGACAGACAGACAGACCGACCGACAGACAGACAGACAGACCGACAGACAGACAGACAGACAGACATACATATACATACATACAGACATATACATACATATAGACATATACATACATACGTACGTACGTACGTACAGACATACAGACATACAGACATACAGACAGACAGACATACATACACACACAAAAATTTGACAGAAATGACAAAAAACTGACAAACAAAATGACAGACCGAAACTGAATTGACAAGAAAAGTGACAAAAAACTGACAAACAAAATGTCAGACCAAAACTGACATGACAAAACAAAATGACAGACCAAAACTGACACGACAAAACAAATGACAAAAAACAGAAAAATGACAACATATAGATACATATGAGCTGATTTTGCTCCGGGGTGCGCTGTGAAACATGAGTATATTAGGATCTAGAATCTAGAATTGTATTTGGTCCAGTCGGATCTTCTGAGACTCGCAGTCACCAGGTCTCGACTCTTGCCTTGCAAGACTCTTGCAGATTTCCAGCATGTCTCTGATATTACCAGACCACCTCTTGATCTCGCTGCCACTTTTCCAAGAATCAAAATCTGCAGCCTCACAGGCTTTGTGCCTTCAATAAGCGTCAACTAACAAACTGCAAGTGCAAAGAATATGATCCAGCAACCCATTCTTGCCGCCATGGCAACAACTTAGATCGCTTCCCACAATGTGCATTCGCGGGTATCATATTCATTTGGTCGCGCAAATGAAGACAATAGACTCGCCTGAACAAGACAAACTGTAGACAATGCGGGCACCGAAACTTCGGTCCAATGGCTGGACAATCTAAAAGACTGATGAGGACTCTGCAGTTAGACTCCAACGCCTATTGTCGGATCTAGTCTATGCAGGGAGGCTATGTAGAGGAATGAAACCTTCAACAAATCACAAAGTCAGAAAACTGATGGGAAAATGTATGAAATTGCAACACTGAAGCTTCCTCGTCTTCGGAGTGGAAGAAAAGTTGCTGCATGATTTTTCCAAGGTCTTGCATGATACAAGTAGTTTTCTCGTTTGAGGTGTGAGAGCATGAAATTCCTTAGTGAAGGGTCTTGAGCCACTCTTCAGTCGTAGCAACGCATGTCTGCATTAAAGTTTACAGTAACAACAAAAACCAATTGCTGCCTGTTTTCTGAGCCGCAACTTTGGGTTTGGGAGGACCTTTCGTTGTTGTTGCTATTAGGAAGGGTTTTAATTATTGCGCTTGGAGCAACAACAACCGCATTGCTAGGGGTGGTGGGAGCCAACACTCTTGCCAGGGAACCAACTCATTTGCAGTGCACTGAAAGGGGCGTTTGCAGCAGCTCTTGCCAGGGAAATCCGACACGGCAATCTTGCTTTGCCGTGCTGTCAAATCCTTGACTGGCAAAGCACTGTACCTAGAAGGCCCAAGGCCCTAAATGTAGGAAATTGCAACAAGAAGGACACATACATGCAAATGCAAGACTCGTGATTTGCATTGTTCTGTATCCACCTGTGCCTACAGAATATGACAAGACTCGTTGGGCAAGGGCCTTCAAAAAACTGTCTCAGTGTTCCACCAGTTGCTCTGTTTCATGCTTGCACCCCTTCAATTCTGTCAGGCAATGTCGACGTTGCAAGACCTTTACAATGTCCAGGCTGGGCACTTGGCAATCTTTTGATTCACATGCAACATTTTCTCTGCTGCTGGTTGCAAGGGAAAGAAACACTCTGACTTTCTGATATTTCTTCAAACCAGCTCGACATTCCACGAGTTGGAAGATAATGCCCCGGACTTTTCAGGTCAGCCTTGCGGTGCTAGGTCTCCTTGGTGCATGTTCCGCACAATTCATAATTTTGATTTGTGTTTTGTTGAGAGGGAGATATATTCTGTTTCAGTAGCCTTTTGGCACATTCCCGCACCCCTGAAAAAAAAGTGTCGTTTCATTTTTTCCTGGTGTGCATTTCGCGTTCAAGGCTAGCAGTTTCCTGCAAGCGAATGAGCCTGAAGGCAAGACAAAATTTGACTGAGTGCAGACTCTTGGCATCGATTCGAAAGTCTCGGCTTCCTTCCTACCGGATTAGCTTAGCTTTGCCTTGCAACTGGAGAGGTTTGGGTGCCTACAAACCCAGCGGCTCTGGCAGTGCAGCTCCAAGAGCTGGAGTCTTTTGAGTGCAGGAAGTTGAATCGTGCGTTAGCGACGTTACCGAGTATTAGTGTTTCATACCAAAGCTGCTTGTTGTTTGGTCCTGGCTCTTGGCTGGATGCTGAGGCAAAGTCATCACCATGCTACAACAGTTGATCAAGGATTCTGAGGCTGAGAATTCTAGAATTTGTGGGAAGAGCGGCGGAGTTGGCTGTGCGTGTGTTGTGCATGAGCTGTGTGCACCTGGGCGCGTTGGGTCTATGGGTCTATGGGTCTATTGGCCTATGGGGTTTTGTTTCGACTGGAGTCTAGGTTGGGGAAGTAGTGTGGTGTGCAATCAAGGTTCAAGCCACTTGTACGAGAAGCAAGGATAGCCAGTTCCTGCAACCAACATTTCTTGCTGGTTTGAAAGAACATTCATTTGCATTGACTGCAGTTTGTTGCCTATTTGGGAAAAGCATGTGCACACTTTGCTCAGTCTTCTACGTGCGCCCGTGTATGTGTGCGCGTTTGTGTTCGGGGTCAGGTTCTATTTCTGTGTTGTCGTTGCGTTACGTTGGTGTTTGTGTCTTTTTCGTGTGTTGGGCGTAGACTTCGTTCTGTTTAGGAGGTCACGATGTAGTTATTTCTCCCTGCGCAGTTGGGCAGTGAAGTTGCAGGTTATGGCGGCAGAAGCCAGAGAAGCTGAACAAACCTCTCAGGAAAGTTTAGAAGTGCTGGCCCCAACACTGAAAGTGAGCCAGTGGATATTTGCTGCCTCATTGGCCTTGCAAGTTAGTATGATGTGAAATGTTGAAAGGTAACATGGTACCACAAACATCTCGCCCAGGCATTCGCTTCAGAAACGAACAAAGCCATCAAGACCAAGAAGGACGGAATTTCCAAGCAAACGAAACAGCGCGGGATGAAGGCAGGGCAAATGGTGCTGGATTATTTTGCAGATTGGCAATCCAATTTTTCCCCTGTGTATCATGTCATGTCGACTTTGTCTTTGGAAATCAACGTAGCTGGAGCGCAAGCCGATAAACTTTCATGGTTTGGGGCCCATCATTTGGAAGAGTCAATCATGTCCGAACATGTTGTACTCTTTTCTGATTTGTGACTTCTACGGCAGGTGGTTTTGCTGGCTGAAACATCAGAAGCAAAGCACTGCCTTCTCCTTGGACCAACTTGGACCATGAAGCACGAGTTCACAGTTCAACTATTTTCAAATTTCAGTTTCCGATAAGTAAGCTGCAGTATGCTGTATGAGTATGAGATGTCTTTTTAGTGTCTTTTTTACATGCAAAAGTTCAACCGTTCGACAGACACCGAACCAACTCCGTGTGGGTTGCATTGCATGCCGAACGTTTTCTTCGCTAAGTGACCTCCGCGGAGATGACGCAGTTGCAGATGGTTAAAGAACGACTTCACGAAAGTTGCTTGGCTTTGGATTTGGGTATTCGATTATGTCACTATGTTTTGTTTGTCGCTCTGTTGCCATTCCACTTATTTTCAGTTACTGTATATAAACAATGTACCCTCTGGTAAACTAACATAACTATAGAAAATCACCATTTCCAATGGGAAAATCCACTATAAATGGTGATTTTCAATAGCTATGTTAAATTACCAGAGGGTATAATATATATATAATATACATACAACACTTTATAACTTTATAAATAACAGTTTATTATACTTTATATATTTCCAAATTGGTTTCCATTTATTTCCAACATTCGAAGACGCTGCTGTCACCTGCCACCTAAGGCTGTGATTTTCTCTTGTCTCAGTTCGATGTGCGACAGAAGGCGGCTGGAGACATGGTAGGAACACTTTGCAGGATATTCCTGGATCAAGCGAGTGAAAGCTCACTTTAAAGACTTCAAAGGGAAGTTTCGATGTTACAGGGCTATTTGACCTCTTGCGCTTACGGTAGATGTAGACGAAACATGCGGTCGAGTATGATCGAGGACTTCTTATTACAGATGCAAGAATAGCTTTGCCTTTTCCAACAGATGTTGCGAAGAGCCAATTTGTGGAGCGAAGGGTAGTAGATGGACAAGTTGAGCACGTGTGTCTTCCAAGTTTCTCCACTTTATCAGACTTTATCACTTCTGCATCTATGACTCATATGACTCTATGGTCTCCAACTGATGTGGTTGTCATGGCATGCTTCTTTTGAAATCATCTTCTCGTACATCCTCTACGGGATGGATGCGTTGGAGTTAGATGTCTTCAATGTCGACGTGTTGGATGTTGATGCAGCTGTGGAATGTTGGACAAGCAAGCCAAAAGGATACCAAACAGAAAACAAAAGATATCATTCCATTCTTTGATCATTGCTTCTTTTGTTTGCCCTTTGCTTGGCTTTGGATTGAATTTTGTTTTTTTGACTCTTCGATGCACAGGCACGGGCTGATGAGATTGAGGCATTGAAGAAAGCAAAGTTGACGCTGGCAGGTGATTGAACACATAGCTCAAGGTTTCTAAACGAACCTAAGCTTCAAACGTTTGAACAACTTGGAAGACCACAGATATCCTGGTCACTTCTTACCTTGGTCGAAAGACAACTGTGGGGTGTTCCCACGACCTGGGTAAGAGCTGCCTTGCGCGTTCCACGAAAAGTGTGCGGCCGGTGCGGCAGTCTTCTCTGGCACAGATTGCTAATGTCGCTCCCTGGCTGCTTCAGCTGCTTTGGTCCTTTAGTTTAATGAATAATGAAGAATCTTTGAACACGGTGTTTGCCAACAAGTCCAGCATGTCCAGCTGGATCCCTTGTATATATACAAATCCAACTTAACACTAGTCGTGCCTTGAGTTGACCGTTTACTTGATCAAACATCGTTAGGTATCATCAGACACCATTACACATGATTCATATTTTAACATTTCGCATCCTTTAATCCTTTGCGGCTTCTCTATGCGGCGTTTCGGCTGCACAATTTGCAATCTCGGTGAGCTCACCCAGCGGAGGCTCATCGGCATCGGCTAGTTGCAGGTCGCTTATTACTTGAGACTCTCTGAGACTGTAATCGGAAGTCTTTATGAAAATTTCTAATCATGTTCGCTCAGAAACGCTGTTTCTCAGCAGGTTTGGATTTATTTTTGCCGAACCAAATCCTCAAAAAAAGGCTGAGGGAGCGACATGCCATTGAGAGTTGAGAACAGAACTTCGATATCAATTTCAGAGACACTTTTGCGAATTGTATCCACTGGACTTGCAACCATTAGATTAAGGGGCCAGAGCATCACTGCAAGACCATGTTGATCTGGATCTCAAAGCTACAAATGCTAGCACCGTTGGATTCACCATCATTTCACTGTTCCCCTTTTCCATATTTTGCAGATTGCAAATATGACCTATTCATACCTATTCATGATGTGATATAAGTATTTGACATTTGAGACTTGAGTGACTCGATCTGCAGGTCTGCGCTCAAGGCGCTCTTGGACGTAGCTTTGTCGCGCTTTGTCGTGCTCTTTGATGCGCTGCTGTTGTGGCCTGTTCATTTGATTTTTGCAGGTAGAGATCAGTTTGATTCCAAGTTTGGATGAGTTCATATGAGTTCCTATTCACATTTGCAAGCATGAGGACATTTGATTTAGAACATGTGTCTCATCTTTGTTCTGAGGTGGAAACCATGGCGTTTTTCAATCAGGCGGGAATTGCATCTGAATGGGCTCTTTGTACGATTGCTCATTTTCTTTCACCGCGAACTCAGGTCAAAATGGATCTCAACAACGTCTTCCAACAGCCAAGCCCTTACGGATGGAGATCTGCTTTAGTCCGCTTTCACAAATGATTGACTGATGAAAAATGGACCGCTTGACTTACAGAACGCAGGTGTTTGTGTGTTGCTACAAAAAAAGAGTTTGCTTTCATTTCATGAACCACTGTGAAAGCAATGGAAAAGATAAGCGTTGGCTGCAAAATCTTGTGCATTTGTGTCTGTTTCGGGTCGAGGCTGATCTTTTCCACACACTCCGGTCCCTCCGGTGTGCGGCCTAGAAACCCTAGAACTTGTGATCGAAGAAAGATACCCGACGGAATAACGTTTTTGCAGGAAGCCGTGGAAGCTGCGCCCACTCTGAGAATTTGTATGAATATTAGCCGAAGGAAGTTTAGAAGTCAAACTTCCGACAATATGGACAGATGGAAAAGCAGAGGTGGGAAGAGTCAGAGAAGAGAAGAGAAGAAGAGAGAAGATCAGAGAAGAGAAAGAGTGTGAAGAAAGAAGATGCAGGTGCGCGAAAAGGTATGAAAGTCGCGAAACACTGTGTTTTTCAAATGATTTGTGGCTCCGGAGGGTCGAAATGATTTGTGGCTCCGGAGGGTCGAAAAGTAGGCTCGCTAAAGCGGCGGGTGCGGAGCCATCTGGCCAGATGAGAATTTTTCACGCCGTTGTGGCGCGAAGCAGATTTCGAAGTCAAAACGCACAAAACACCTCAGCCTCTGGAGCACTTTTAAAAGTTGAGATGTTGAAAAAGTGCACGCCGTTGTGGCGCGAAGCGCATTTCGAAGTCAAAATGTGCAAGACACACCAGCTCCGGACCACTTTTGGAAGTTGAGATGTCGAAAAAGTGTACGCCGTTGTGGCGCGAAGCACATTTCCAAGCCAAAATGTTAAAAGCACCACATGCTCGGACCACTTTTGGAGGTTCAGATGTGGTTTTGCGTGGCAGGCGCAAGGGATTGTGCACCTTGTCAAAAGTGAGCAAAACGTAAGGGTTTTCTAAAAACGATGGCAGGCGTGGGACATTTGAAGGAGATCTGCAAAGATGCATTTTCCGTGGCAGGCGCAGTACAAGAGACATGTTCATCAGAGCTGTTAGGAGGTCCGGGCGCTGATTTCCTGAGAGGGGTTGCATGTTGGAGCATCAGATCTTCAGTTTTGGGAAGGTGACTTTGCGTGACAGGTGCAGCACTTCGTATGACCTGGCATCGATTTTTCATGGCAGGCACAATACTTTTAGAGACGTAGATCGGAAAAATCGCAAAACGGCAGCAAACACAACAACAACTACAATACATTACACAACACCACGCTACACTAATTACATTACATTACGGTACAACTATAGCTACAACTGCAACTTCAACTACCACTGCATTGCACTACACGATACTACACTACACTAATTGCACTGCACTACCACTACAACTACACTACTTTACACTACACAACACCAGGCTACACTACAACTACAACTACAGCACACTACACTACACTACATTACTCTACACTAATTACAACACACCACACTATATACAACTACAGCTGCGCTACACCACGCTACATCCAGGAGTTGTGGGTGAGGTGACAACTGCAACCATTGCAGCCACTCCAAGAAAGACAACTCCAACCGCCTTTTGGACCATCAGTGGATTCGCTCTGCCATCCGTGATTTACATCCCCGTGGCAATTTCCACTCTAGAACTGGTGAACCTGTGCATAGTTTAAACGAAATTCTTAATGTATTGGAATTTTAAAATTGATGTCAGGCCAGTCATTTTATTGTTGGGGGGTTGGGCTAAGCATTTTATTGTAAAGGTAAATCCTGATGATTTTTAACATGTTAAAATTCCATTCTCATTTTATTGCAAAAAAATGTTTGCTTGAAGCATTTTATAGCAGAATGGAACCAGTGTTTTTCCAGGATCTTTTTATATCGATTTTATTGGGCATGTCATTTTAGATCAGCGAATTTTAAGGAATTTGAAGGAATTCTAAGGAATTTTAAGGAATATTAAGGAATTTTAAAGGAATTATAAGGAATATTAAGGAATTTTAAAGGAATTATAAGGAAATTTAAGGAATTTAGAGAGTTTTAAGGAATTTTAAGGAACCTTAGAGGAATTTTAAGGAATTTAAAGGAATTTGACGGAACTTGACGGAATTCGGAGGATTTTTAAGGATCTTTAATGCTTTTAATTTTTAAAGGATATTTAAGGATTTTTAAGGTTTTTTTTGGAATTTTAAGGAATTTAAATGATTTTTAAGGAATTTTAAGGAATTGCCACGAAAGAATGCCACCGTATTTTGTTGCTATAGAATGCTATTTAAAAAAAACACACTAAATATTTGGGCACCTTCACTCTAAAATACCCCTATCTAAAATGGATTTCCTGACCTCTTTTTAAAGATGCGTTTCTGAGGGTCTTCAAAATTGGATGAAATTGGATGATGTTGGATGCACATTCAAGCATGAATTTGGTGGCAAGGCATTTTATTGCAGAGCCAGTTTTCATTGTTTTTGTGCATTTTAAAGCTTGAGGCCTATGCACAAAAGTTAGACCGCTCTAAAACTCCTGCACAGCTTCACATAATGAATTGGCACCCCGATTGATTTACAACAACCAATCTCCCCTATAAGTTTCCTATTTTTTGAACTTCCGCCGCCGCCTTGTGCGGTACTACTGGTATCTGTGTATGGAAGGTATATCTTCACTGCCATGGTATGATGAAGCCAATCCTGTCCAACTGGCACCAGTAGTACCCGCACGAGGCGGGGCGTAAGTTGCCTTAGGGATATACTATAAAACCTTTGTCACCTATAGAACTTGCATGCGCGGTGCGCCAGCCAGGCCCGTGCGTGCGTGCTGTGTGCGAAGCTGTTGCACTGTTGTTGTCAAAGAACATGACCTGCACACGGCCCCGGCGCAATGCAACGCCAAGCAAAGACTTTATTCACACTGCACACTGCAATCTTCACACCCCGCGCTTCACACTTCACACTTACACTTCACATTCCACACTTCAAATTCCACACTTCATCTCATCTCATCTCAGCTCATCTCATCTCATCTCATTTCATCTGAGCTCTTCTCACCTCACTTGAGCTCTTTTCATCTCATTTCATCTCTTCTCATACGTCAGCTAAGTTCTGCTTGCCTATTTTCATTTCATCGGAGCACAGCTCAACCTTTCTCACCTCACCGCAGCTAGTCTCAACTCATCTCGTCTCTTCCGCACGTCAGAAAGCTTGAGACACAGATGCATTTACACAGAAGGTCTTTACAAAATACTTTGTAGTACAAAGCTTGCACCCAGTACTTCCCAGTACTACTTTGTACTGCAAAGCTTGCACAAAGCACGTCTTAATAATAATTTGCATTATAAAGCTTGCACAAAGTATTTGCCAGTACTACTTGGTACTACAAAGCTTGCACAAAACACATCCCAGTACTACTTTGCACTACAAAGCTTGCACAAAGCACTTTCCAGTACGACTTCGTACTACAAAGCTTGCACAAAGCACGTCTTAGTAATAATTTGTTTTTTAAAGCTTGCACAAAGTACTTCCCAGTACTACTTTTGTACTGCGAAGCTTGCACAGAGCACGTCACAGTACTACTTTGTACTACAAAGTTTGCACAAAGTACTTGCCAGTACTACTTTGTACTACAAAGCACGTCCTCTGTATTTGACATAGAAGCTTTGACACACAGCAAACTTTTACACAGAGAAGCTTTACACACAACAAACTTTTGCACAAAGAATTGTTTACACCGAGAAGCTTTCTTATTCATAATGACAGCAGAAATTGCAGCTCCAAAACCGGATCTCGACGCCAACTCCACAAAAACACGATTTTGAAGCACTTTTCGAAAGAAAATCTAAAAGGACATCACCAGCGCCAAAATTGAGAAAATCTCCTGACAAATCACTATTGCAGTGTTGATGCAGCCATTCCAATACGCTTGACGAGGATTACGCACGCAGCCGTGGCAATATAATTACGCACACACGAGCAACCACTCGTTGCAGAACATAGGAGGAACCGATTCGACGATGAAACCAGCGCCGCCGCAACCGCCGCACGCATGAGGTACCTTTCATCGCCGGCTGCAGCCACCTTGCGCGGAAAAACACACGGTTTCGTGCTCCGGCTTCCTCCCCAAAACAAACCCCATGCAATGCATGCAACATTCATGCAGCCATTGCAATGCGTTTTGCAGCATCATGTGGCAAACGCGCATCTTTTTCTGCACATGGCAACAAAACGTGACACCAATCATGCAGCCATTCCACTGCGATCTGCAGCTTCCAAAACACCCTTTAACTACGCACACACGAACAACCACTCGTTGCAGAACACAGAGGAGGAATCGATTCGGCGATGAAACGAGCGCAGCAGCACCTGCCGCACACACGAGGTACCTTGCATCGCTGGCTGCAGCCACGTTACACAGAAAAACACAAGGTTTCGTGCTCCGGCTTCCTCCCCAAAGAAAGCCCATGCAAGATTCATGCAGCCATTACAATACGTTTTGCAGCACCACCTACGCATTCACGCAGCCATTACAATGCGTTTTGCAGCTTCACGTGGCTAACCCGCATCTTTCTTTGCACATGGCCACAGAACATGGCAACAATGATGCAGCCATTACATTGCGATCTGCAACGAGAGATTCAACAAGCGCATAGAACTACGCACACATGAACAAACACTAAGTGCAGAACACAGAGGAGGAACCGATTACGCTCGAAACGATCCAAACCGCAACCGCTGCACACACGAGGTACCTTTCATCGCCGGCTGCAGCCATTGTACACGGAAAAGCGCAAGGTTTCGTGCTCCGGCTTCCTCCCCAAAACTTACAATGCATTTGCAGCTTCACGTAGCAAATCCGCATGACACTGCGATCTGCAACCAGAGATTCATGAAGCGCATAGAACTACGCACGCATGAACAATCAACAGCCACTCATTGCAGAACACAGGGGAGGACCAATTCGCGTACTGTTGTGGGATGTAAAGGCTCGCACCACCCTTCAATGTGATGTATTGTTATGTGATGTATTGTTGTGGGGTGTAAAGTCTCACACCACCCTTCAATGTGATGTATTGTTATGTGATGTAAAGTCAAACATTTTTGAATGTGACGTATTGTTATGTGATGTACTGTTGTGGGATGTAAGGTCTCACACCACCCTTCAATGTGATGTATTGTTATGTGATGTAAAGTCTCACGCCACCCTTCAGCCCTTCAATGTGATGTATTGTTATGTGATGTAAAGTCTCACACCACCCTTCGTCAGATGTAAAGTCTCACAATTCTATTTATCCGTAACTCGGAAGATTGCTTCCCAATTTCCTTTGATTATTCTTCTCGATATAATTTATTTGATATCAATCTTAGTTCCTACCAAATATCTATCCTGCGGTTGCCACATTGGATTTCTTCTATTCTATTTGTTCCCTTTCGAATGCAGCTCTTGTGCTGTTAGTTCGTGTTTAGGCCTGGGTTTGTAGGCTTTTTATGAACTCTATATATTTGCAAAGAGTTGCGAATGGTCTCCGTGTCAGTAAAGGTTAACAGCGACGTGTCTCAACCGTTTTATTCTGAGTCATGACAGATTACTTGCAAACTCCTGACATGAAACAGCAGTTGAAGTGTTGTTTCATCATGAACCTTTCACAAGACCACAGGCAGCTTTGCAATGCAACATGTATTGTGGCAAAAATCGAGGGTGACAATCCGAGGGAGAACTTGATCAAGTGTTTTTTTTGGGCACGGTGACAGTGTCAATAATTTTCGATAAGCTGCGATCAGAGCTCCGCAAGTGGGGAAACCAGGAGACCTTTGCCTCTGCCCCTGGTGGGAAGGCCGCAATAAGCCAGGTCAAATCACTTTTTCGCCAATGCACCTGGAACATGTTGTAAAAATTACGGCACAGATTCACAAAGCAGAGGGGATCCCTTCAGCCCACGCCACTTTTACTCATACAGCCGCGCTGCTTGTATGCGTGGACCAATCATGATCAATGCTAGCACACATGGAAACCAGCAGTTGGTTTATTCTGGAAACTGCTGGTGACAGAAGTGAAATGATAAGATGCAAACCAGCGTCATGACTAAACACATGCGCAGCCAAGAATATCTCAAAGAGTAACTTTTGCACTACTCACGGATGTTGCGTTTGCGTTCCACCATATTTGAAGGGCACAAGTGCAGCACTGGTGATTTGCAGCACCGCCAAGGTTTCCCAACCATTTTCTACCTCAGCGCAGTCAGCCGAGATTCAGAAGGTGCAAGCAACATGGATAGATGGGATGGTGTGACCATGAGTGGCGTCTATGTGTCTTCCTGGAGAAAGTCAGGGGTATCAACTAGTTACGATCCTTGGGATGGTCCTCCAAGCACTCATAATATTTCCCCATGTCCCCATGTTTTTTTCTCATTGACGATTTCGTAACCCCACTGGCTCAAGCATGAAACTGAATTCCAGAGATTCCATATGCAACCTATCCATTTCTCCAGTGAACATGCTCGCATTCTTGACTGCATTGGCGTTGGCAGATGCCCGGCGTTTCCAGGACCCAGATGATTTGGTTGCAACTTTGCAAGTGGCCCAACGATGGAACCAGAGTGCTCTGCACCCGGATGGCCTCGAGCAACGCGTTTTGTGTGGTGACTACTTGCTGGAGGATGAACACAAGACTCCAATCGAGCTGCGACCTAGGCAGTCCCCGGCAAAGCTGATTGACACTTTCGCATTTGGCAACGCCTATGAAGTGGAGGAATTACTCCTTCGAATGTACGAGATGGGCGAAGAGGTCTCCGAGTTTCACATTGTCGAGGGTGATCATGACTTTCAGGGAGCAAAGAAGCCATACCAGTTCGAGGCAATCCTGAATAGTGGGCAGTTTGATGCGTGCCTAGGCCTTAGTATTTCTTTAGAAAACTGTGTTTCCAAACATACATTATATATATATATCTATTATATATATATTATAAATAATATATATATATATATAAATAAATGTATATACAGTGTATATATATATATATTTGATGCATTTTCGGAAGCAAAGACATCAACGATGTTTTCTTTGATGCTTGTCATATTTTGAGTACGCAAGACATTGCCTGCTTGTTTGGCCGTTTGGGCCGTCATGAAGCAAGGGAACAAATAAGACTCGGTGGGGAAGAATCGCTTGCGCCCGAATTTCCGCAAGTGTCACTACTAGGTACTAGGGTTAAGTCCTTGCATCGTGTGTTAAGTCGTAGCGGATGAGCGTCTGCCTTGCGGAAAGGCATATTGGGGAGCATCATAGTATAACATATTGGAGAAGCTATGTATGTTGTTTCTATGCTTAGATGTGTGTTTGCCATGCGTTGTTTTTTGTTTTTTTCCGCAACATGTATGTTTGTGAGGATTGATAAGGTTCAAATATGATAGGGGTTAGTCATGTATGTTGTCTTTGCTCTTGGATGAGTGTGTGCCATGCGGTGCTCTTTTTTTTCGAGGTTCTTTGTCTACCAGCATTGGCCAGGATTCAAACATGAAAGGGTAGTATACACTATGTAAACTGATATATTTCATGGTATCATTTTATCACCATTTGGGTTAGTTCTGTATTTGTTTTTTTCGTTAGCAGACCTAGATCCTAGGGCGTTGGCAGCACTGCAACTGTTAGCTGAAGCCCAAAATCTTCCAGCTCCAGGATTTGGGTAAGGGTCTGTCCCGGGTAGTTTTTGACCTCGTTTGGTACCTCGTTCGGACCTCGTTCTGACCTCGTTCGTGACCAGCCTTCGTTTGGTCTTTTTTTAGTATGTTTAGCCTACTTGACATGCAAAGCAGATCTAAAACTGCTTGTAAACACATCCTAGCTGCGAAAACCAACTTTAATCTGACCATGGTTCCTGCGCTCGCGTTTCCATGGTGTTTGGCATCGCAATTGCCGTTCCTAGACATCTTCAAATCATGTCTGTGACATTGGGTTTTCACTTATGAACTGTACCCAACATATCCATCGTCAACGCGCGTTTCCATTGTAACTTGTACACAAAACATATGTGCAAAACATGCCCTGGACATATACCTTTCACCGTCAGGCCATGCTAAACAGAACAACAAGGATCCTAAAACCCATTGCATTCCGTACGCGTTTCCATGGTGAAACCATAAAAATGCTATGACTTAAACGGAGCTGCTATGACTTAAAACGTTCGCAGCATTTCCATGCGAAAACAAGCCCCCTGCAATGACTTAAAACGAAATGCTATGACTTAACCCTTCCACTTGTACTGCATGATATATCCCAGCGCAAACTCTTGCATTGGGCCATTGTGGCTCGCACTGACCTGGAGTTTGGTTAGGTGGTTGTCGGCCTTTAGCAACCTGCATGGCTTTTGAACACGCGCCAAAAACAAACGCACTGCTTCAGGCCATTTGTTGGTATAAATGGGTACTGACATGTGACATGATGCATTCTTACCTCAAGGGTCGTACATGAGTCATGCTCCAGTAGATCTTGGTAGTTGTATAGCTCTTCTACTTCAGATTTGATGGCAGTTCGAGTGGAAACCCTACAGTGAGCCCAAATTCTGTCAGGACCAAAATCCTTTTACACACTTAGAGACATTGAAAGTTCCTTAGCTACCGAAACTATCGCTAAAGTTCAAAAACCCACATTTTTTTTTTACATACAACTAGGTCATTCCTCAACAAACACGTTTTTTGAGCTCAAATCAGCCGATTTTTATGAAAAAATGGGACCTTGGGATTTCCAGGTGGAAAAACAAGATCACATACTACAAGGTCGAGATCCCAATGGGTGTGAAGGGCTTCAGGTTACAAGACATACAGAGGCTGCAGCTTCGATCACAGATGAATGACTACAAGAATTACGACCTCAAAGACATCCTTTTGGAAGGGGATTTGGACGAGATTGTGAGCGAAGAAACTTTGAAAATTCTCAAGCATTGCGAACCAGTTGCAGGCTCATGGAGTGCTCACGTCCACATGGGCAACTTTTACTTCAGCCTTGCGTGGACTGATGGTGATTGGATGCTGCCAACCACTGTCGGTTTTGTCAGTGAAGTGCCTTCAACTCCTCCTCCACCTAGACTTTTGGAATCTGACGCCATCCCAAGTCATGATGCAACAGTCAATTCAACACTTGTGCACCTCCCAAAATCTCAAAGCATTTGGACGAAGCCGAACACGCTTAGTCGTAGAGACGGTCGGCTTCATGCGTGGCATTGCGCATGGACACTCAACGGCCCGGCCGGGCTGGCTCACAAAATCTTCATCCGCATTGAAGGCATCCCAGGGTGGGCCAAGAATTGTTGCTCTGATGAGGCTACTTTGGCCAAGTTCATCGGCTCGGGATTTTATGACAAAGTGAGCTCCTATGATCCCAATATCCATCCATCCAAGCTATCCAAAGAAGATCTGCCGCCGGCATTGCTCCGCCATCCAGAGAAGTTCCCGAACATTCTGAGGGGCGTCAATTGGTAGATCCACTTGGGAGCACTGCGGTGCATTTGCGCTTGTGCGAAAATGGCTGAGTTCCATTGCTTTCCCATTAACATCCCATGAGCATCGCATAAGTCAGTGGTTAAGTAACCCATAGCAACCCATGATACCCCCCGAATTTCAACACGGCACCATGTCTGCCAAGGCAAGCGTGGACTCGTTGCAGGGCTTTGTGCAGAAGATGCGGGTCCCCAGCAGTCTGAAGGCCAGGGGCCGAGGGAACAAGGGAACACCACCTGGAACAGCCTGTCACGCAGCCACAACAAAAATCCTTCTACGATTTGAGCACATAAATCATTGAAAAAGAATCCACTATGTTCATTAGATATTCAGTACCATCACCCAGTTAACATCATTTAATGGAAAACATTATTACACAAATCGGGTAAACTTATAGTAAACTATGATGCTTACTAAGGGGAACTAACTATCTCCCAAAGGCCGAACTTTCAGGTTGAAACATGTTTTTTTCCCGAATGCGTAGCAAGGGTTCCCGTTTCACTCTGGGGGTCTGGGGGTTGAGGGTGTGTTCGCCCGACGTTGCGTTCGCGAGCGCAACCGTCCGCAACCGTTCGCAACCGTTCGCGTGAGGACCGTATGGCCGTGCCTATGGGAAGTTTTACAGAGGTGGTCCTTTTTGGAGGTTTCAGACGTCTGGTTGCTTCGTTTCGCGTGGCAGGTGTGGCACTTCGTGACATTCAGACGTGTTCTGCAACGTGTCGCAAGTCGTTTTGCGTGGCAGGCGCAATACTTTTGCGACGTTTTCAGAAGATGTGTTGCAGTTTTCGTGGCAGGCGCAGCACTTTGGACGCGTCCATCGTCATTTTTCGTGGCAGGCGCAGCACTTTAGACGCGTCCTGTGGCGTGTTTTTTGTAAATCGCATTGGCAGGGCTGCGTCAAGTGGTGACAAGGTGCAAATTCCGTGGCAGGCGTGGCATTTTCTGACATGTGCTGAAAATTGACGGAAGCCTCGCACGAAACATCGATTTTGAGGTTGCAAATTGTCAGGTTCTAAGGAAAACTCGTAGGAAAACGTCGATTTTGAAGCTGCAAAGTGTGAAAATCGGAGGAAGTCTCGCACGAAATGCTCGTTTTGATGCTCCCACTCGAGTGTCTGGTTTTCCTGTGGCCTCGCCGTGTCTATGGGGGAAGCTGCAAAACATGTCCTTTCGGCACGTTTCAACTTGTGAAAATTGGAGGAAGTCTCGCACGAAATGCTCGTTTTGATGCTCCCACATGTCTCGTCTCGAGTCTCTGGTTTTCCTGTGGCCTCGCCGTGTCTATGGGGGAAGCTGCAAAACTTCTCCTTTTGACATGTTTCCAAGCAGGTTGTCATGTCGTTTTGCGTGGCAGGCGTGGCACTTTGTGACATTCCAACCTGTTTGATAACGTGTCGAAAATGTCAAACTTGGAGAAAGTCTCGTACGAAATGCTCGTTTTTCTGCATCCACGTGTCTCGTCTCGGGTCGCTCGTTTTCCTGGGGCATCGCCGTGTCTATGGGGGAAGCTGCAAAACCTCTCCTTTTCGAAGGTTTCCAAGCATGTTGTCATGTCGTTTTGCGTGGCAGCCGTGGCACTTTGTGACATTCCAATCTGTTTGCTAACGTGTCGAAAGTGTCTCTGGTTTTCTAGACACGTCGCCGTGTCTATAGGGGAATAGGGGAAGCTGCAAAACATCTCCTGTTCGAAGGTTTCTAAGCAGGTTGTCATGTCGTTTTGCGTGGCAGGCGTGGCACTTTGTGACATTCCAACTTTACACTCTACACTCTACACCCCACACTCCACGCTCTAGACTTTACCCTCCTCACTCCACACTCTACACTCCACTCTCCACACTTTACACTCCACACTCCTCACTTTACACTCCACACTCTACACTCCACACTCCTCACTTTACACTCCACACTTTACACTCCACACTCGTCACTTTACACTCCACACTCCACACTCTACACTCCACACTCCTCACTTTACACTCCACACTCCACACTCTACACTCCACACTCTACACTTTGCACTCCAAACTCTACACTCCACACTCCACACTTTGCACTCGACACTCTACACTCTACACTTTACACTTTACACTTTACACTCCTCACTCCACACTCTACACTCCACACTCCTCACTTCCCACTCCACACTCCACACTCTACACCCCTCACTCCACACTCGACACTCTACACTTTACACTCCACACTCCACACTCTACACTCCACACTCCTCACTTGACACTCCACACTCCACACTCCTACACTCCACACTCTACACTCTACACTTTGCACTCCAAACTCTACACTCCACACTCACCACACTCTACACTTTGCACTTGACACTCTACACTCTACACTCTACACTTTACACTTTACACTCCTCACTCCACACTCCACACTCTACACTCCACACTCCTCACTTTACACTCCACACTCCTCACTCCACACTCCACACTTTACACTCCACACTCTACACTTTACACTCCTCACTCCACACTCCACACTTTACACTCCACACTCCTCACTTTACACGCCTCACTTTACACTCCTCACTTTACACTCCACACTCCACACTTCCCACTTCCCACTTCCCACTTCCCACTTCCCACTCCACACTCCACACTCCACACTCTACACCCCTCACTCCACACTCGACACTCTACACTTTACACTCCACACTCCACACTCTACACTTTCCACTCTACACTCCACGCTCCACACTCCACAATTTACAACCTCCACACTCCACACTCCACACTCTACACTCCACACTCTACACTTTCCACTCCACACTGCAGACTGGCAACAGGGGAAATATGCACAAGACTGTTCAAATAAACTATTGCAGAAAAGCGGTGTGCGTGACTGCATATCCATGTGCTTTGACATCTGTACCATTAACATACGTGTGAGCATTCGGGTTCGTGGGCTGCATCTTGTTTTAAGGCTTACGCCTGACAGCCGGCCACCTGCCAGGAAGGGTTGCGGTTAAAGCCATGTTAGAGCCAGCTTGTGCCCAGGTGAGGTCGAGCCCATCTGGGGCCCAAGATGGGCCATGTTCGGGCTTGTTGAGGCCATCTTCGGCCAAGTTGGGAAGGTGTTGGGGCCATGTTTGTGTTTGGGCCATGAGGGTCCAACTTGGGCCATGTGGCAGCCATGTGTGGCAAGTTGTAGCCATCTGAAGCCATGCTGAGCGAAGTTGAAGCCAGCTTTGGCGATGTTGAAGCCATGTTGGTGGCCAATATGGGCCATGTTAAGGGTTGTTGAAGCCATCGTGGGTCATATTGGGGACATGATTGGGGCCATATTAAGGTTCAAAACGAACAAACATTGTAAAATGCATGGTTTTCTAGGGCCATCTTGGGCCATGTTGCGCCCACGGTAAAGCCATGTTGGGACCATGTTGAACCAGGTTGGGCGATGTTGGGGCCATGTTGGGGGCATGTTGGAAGCACGGGGGGGCAGGGGTCGGCACATACATGCTGCCATGTTGGGGCCAAGTTGTAGAGTGCTTTGGAGCTGGCGTGCTCCGCTGCAAAGTGCTGCTTCAGGTTAGAGTGGTGTGTGAGGTGTGGACCTGGCATGCCAGTGCCGCTGGGGTGCCGTTGCAGGCTGTTGTCAGAGCGCTGTGTGCGCTTTGGAGCTGGCTTGCTGGGCTGCAGGGTGCGGGTGCAGGGTACTACTGTCAAAGGGCTGTCTGCATCTTAGGAACTGGGGTGCTGCTACAGCATACTGCTGTCAGAGTGCGGTGTGCGCTATGAAGCTTGGGTGCTGGTTTGCAGTGGGGTGGCTGCAAGATGTCTATGGCAGTGTGGGCGTTTGGCCCTGATGGAAATTATGTTTATGCCGTAGCAGAACAGGCAAGCGCTTGGTTGCCACTAGCTGTTGCTCTGGGGTGTATTTATGCTGGCGTAATTTTGGGCTCGAGGTGAGAGAAAAAAAGGGAAAAACACGTGACCTACTGGTTATCTAATGGTGGTTTAATGGGTAAACATTATGTTTCATGGTGAATTGTAGCTAACAATTGAATATTTAATGGTATAGCCTCTCGTAATTTGCCTCTGGTAATTTCATGTGGCTGGCTGGAGAATCCCCAAGCTGAATGAATCGTGTTTTAATGCGAAATTCATCGAACTAAAGGATCGGGTAACGGGTAACCATACTAAAGCATAAACATGGGATTTGTGGAGACTTATTGGGAATATAACCAATGGTTTCATGGGATATAAATGCTGTATGCTATGAAAAATTGCCACGTCCCATTCACTCGCAAAAATCAGAGAGGGAACTCCCACATACCTCCGACATCCCTCAACCGGTCACATGGATGGCGCATCTCCCTTCACCCTGAGGAAGAAATATGTTCCAAAAATCCGGCGTGTTTCCAAACTATTCCAAACCACAAAGATGGCGCAAGTGAGGAAAGGGCTTGATGAGGACAAACTTCTGTTTGTCAATGTGTTTGCCAAAGCCAGCACTCCTCAGCCTTCTGAATACTCCGCCAAGATTTGCAAAGAAGATCTTTAATCTTCAAGTTTTGGCCTCACCAAATGCTGCAGAACGAATTTTTTCTTATTCGGAAACCTACAATATCTAAAAATTGGTTCCCGGAATGGAAGCCTCTCATTTGAGTACTTTTTGACAAGATGTGCAAAGAGCATCTTCAATCTTCAAATTTGGCCCCGCCCCTCCATGTTCGGTACGCACATAGATGGCGCACGTCAGGACATGGCTTGACGATGAGGACAAAATTATGTTTGTCAAAGTGTTTGCCAAGGCCAACCCTCCTTAGCCTGCTGGCTGCTTCGACAAAATTTGCAAAGAACATCTTTAATCTTCAAGTTCGGGCCCCACCAAGAATTACAGAACCAATTTTTTGACTTTTTAGGCGGACACCTAAATTCTAAAACTTGGTTCCCGAAATGGAAGCCTCAAATTGGAATACTTTTTGTCAAATTTGCAAAGAGCATTTTCAATCTTCAAATTTGGGCCTCACCCCTCCATGTACGGTACGCGCATAGATGGCG